TATTGCCTCCAACCGATAACAGGATTATATTAGCCACAAGGTGCTTAAAATTATGTTAATGAATTGTACTGTGTAAATGAGGCAGCTGAGACCCAGGCTGTCAGATGCAGTGACTACATAAGAGAAAAGTGATTTTATTTTATGAGAGCCTTCTCGCATATCTTTTCTCCTTTGTTTTTCAAATTACTCTTATTTTTGTATCCTTACAGTTTCTTTCCAGCTTTTGTTTCTCCAACATTCACATCTCTATTTCCTTGTCATTTTCCTACATCTGTTTCTTTTCTATCCCCTTACCTTCATCTGCACCTTTTCCATTTCTTTCCCTTTCTCTTCAAATGTTCTGCTTTTTCATGTTCACCTTGCTCTGTTTCTTCTTTATCTTCTCCCCTTCCTCAGTCTCCTGCCTCTTCTCTTCTCTGTGCTGACCCACACAGTTGTGCAATCAGGAAATGAAAAAGTTAAGTTCCTTCTAACAGCCTCCAGGGCCTACTTAATTCTTGGCTCTGTATTTCTGTAGCAATTTCTCAGCCCTCTGATAATGTTCCTCCCTTATGTAGTGGATCCATATCTCAAAACCATCCAAACTTTAAGGCAAAGTTACTCTCTGTGTATGTGCGCGAGTGCAGGGGTGCGCACTCACACTCAGGCTTCTCTGTGCACACAAGTAACTTTTGTTAAAGTTATATATATATATGTGAGTGTGCAGGCACGCACTCACTCAGGTTTCTCTGCGCACACAAGTAACCTTTTGTTAAAGTTATATATATGTATGTGTGTGTCCAAGAAACAATTGTTTAGTGTGTTGGAAAGGAGCTGAGACACTTAGAAGTTTTTTAAGTTAATGGCATTGGCAGCCAGTGTAGCTCACTAAGTATGCCAACTGGCTATTTGCTGGATGTGTGGTATTTGATTCCCAGCAGACTAAAGTTTTTTGTCTTTAATTTTCTGATCAGGTCTGGGTCCCACCTGAAAGTCTAATTACTGGGAACTCTTCCCAGTGTATGATGGCTGGAAAGTGAAGCTAACTGCATCTAATGCATGGAGTTTTTTATTAATATATCTGGCATGTGAAGATGTGAATAATATTGTTGAGGCTCACAATTTCCATAACGGTTTCCTTCACCCAGAAGTGCCAGCTTTCATTCCTGTAGTTCAAAATTACAATTTAAAATTCTTATAGCTGTGATTTTCTCATGGGCAAACACTACACACATATACACATGTGTGAACCTCCTAAGAACTTGAAATGTGGGGAGAGATTCCCTTGATGTGTTTGCTCTCTTTGTAGTTCAGATAAAATACCAATCCCATGCCAGTTTTTATAAAGGAATTAATTTTTTATATTTGGCACTGCTAGTGTTAAAATAGGCTTCCATACTATTGTAACTGTATTAACTAATTTTGACTTCCAACGTCTAACAGTTTTATTTATTTCATTTCCCATCTTACTTTTCTGTCGATGCTTTTCAAGAATTTAATTTCCATTGCTGGGTTTTAGCATATGCTCCTCTTTGTAATGGTCTGTGTTGTCCCTGTGCTTAACTAATTAAACACTATGCCATCATGGTGTAGGGGGGAATGGTTGTATAGATGCACTTTTTCTTGACCTCAGCACTGGCTGGAGGTGAATGGTTACACCACAACACGTATCATTAATGGTTGCAAATGTACTCTATAGATTGTTTTGTGTTGTTCTGGGGTCTCCTGTTTCACAATACAGCTGTTACCATTTAACAGAATGTATAACTAGTTCGTATTCTTCTGTTTAGCTTTGTTGAATTTGAGCAAAATGGTGGCTCTGTAGCTTTTTTATCAACACATTGCCTTTTTCAGCAAAATGAGAAACGAGCTGTGTACAAGGGACACTGCTGAGCAGGATGTGGCCTGCTGTAACAGGAAGTGTCCAACCATAATAACCAAAATGCGAGTTCTTGCTATGAATTATATACAGCAGGAAGCCATACCTTGTAGCCTGCTTCTTGATCATTATCACAAAAAAAAAAAGGTAAAGTTATCCCCGTAACAGGCCAATGGGATTGTGAGACATTGAGGCTCCCACATTTTGTATACAATCAGCACACAGATGGCAGTGAGGCTGTCAGCCTTACACACACTTTACATCCAGGAAGACTCATTTCTCTCAGATGCTAAGTCAACCCCAGGGCCATAGTGTGGCTGGAATGAGTAGGTCAAATTAAAAGTTTAGTGACCTCATAAGGAATCAAACCCATGACCTGGCTTGTAGCATAGTGCCTCAACAAACTACACTACTGCATGCCTCCAGTCATTACAGTACTTAAAGATGTCTTCATGCTCTGAAAACACAAGTCAGCAGAAATTTATAGTTTGTATGAAAGAATACAGAAATATGATTTTCAGGGAGAGTTTATTTTATGCTAACATATGTGATTCATATTAGGAGGTTCCATGTTGTAATCTTGTCTTGGAACTGTGTATTCAAATTAACATTTTCAAAGTTTTTATAGTTTCAACAGACAAATGCTGAGGTAATATAAAGAAACAATATGACACTTCTTTCCACACCCCTCCCAATTGAATTTTCACACTTGTCTTATTGTATCTCATATTTGGCATAATTTCAGCAGTTAAAATTGTGTTATTTGTGGAATGCCTCTGGGTATGTACTGTCTAGACCTTTCAGGCCTATGCCCCACCCCCCACCCCGAGCAGTGACATAGTATCCATTTCTGAAGCAAGGCAGATTTTATTATCCCCGTTGATGGACTAGTCATGAAAGTGGTTGCTGGCAGGTGGGACGTCCAGCTTAACATGAGCTTAGACCCACTGGTGTAGGTCATGTTATTCTTCTTGTGCTGAGAAAGGTCACAACATGTTATAATTAAGAGCTGCACAGGTGATCCAAGCAACACCTCAGGGGTGACACATTTTATAAACTCTTTTTAAAATGAAAATTAATTGTTGCTGCTTTTTTGTTAGTACCATGACTATCAATTAACAGCAATCCAAACTTAAGGAAATAGTCTACTGCTGCAAACATGTTTCTTCAGTGTACCCCATGCACTTTTACAGACTTGCCTAGTTGTAGAAGTGGGTTGAGGCAGTCTCTTGGTTCTGCAGCCTCAAATGGACCTGCTGTATGAGTCTCAAATGATAGGTGATAGTGGAACTTTGGTCGTATGGTAATTGGTAGGGGAAAAAGGAAGATCTTTTACAAAGAAAGTCCCAGCACCATTTTTTCCACCACAGATCCCACATGAGCTACCCTTGAATTTAAGCAAGGCCTCAATTGTGAAAATAAAAGCAAATAAATTCCAGTAAGAAGTTGGTACCAGACTTGGTCATTTCCTTTTGGAGTTGAAAATATTTATTCTGACTTTTTCTCTCTCTCTCTCTTGCTATCTGAAACCATTTCTCTTTGCCATTGCATCCAGACTTGGTCTGGGTAAAGCTGGCCCTGCATGTGAGTGTAGTGTGAAGATGGACCTTTACAGAGTCAAAGTCTGGGCATAATCATGTTTATATATTGTGTCTGCCTGGACCACCATAGCTGAATACACTGATATTATATGAATATTATTGTGTTCTGGGATGTGATGCCTGTACTCTGCTAGATATTGATGGGTACGGTATAACTTGTTGAGGAAGGATGTAGGTAGGCAAATACTGCAACTGTAGCCATAGGTATGAGTCCCCAACAGTACCAATGGTTAGGAAGATTGTGCTGCATCCGGAAGATGGAGCCAGATTCCTCAAAAATGTTGGAGTCTTGGTACGTTCCTAGCAGAATACATGGGGTCACATCCTGGAAGACAATAATATTCAGCTGTATGTTTTGCTTTTGTCTTAACCCATTAAGAGTACCACTGAACTCCAGGAAACATTTCCTTGCTTGTGTGGTAAAGAAGGGAGGGGTGATGTCTGGAGCAGTGACCTGCTCTTTGCTGTTGCAATATCCACATCCTGCCTATAGTAAAGGCCTGGAAAGCCCAGCAGACCACAGAATTTTCAAACAAGTGTTTCTTGTTTTTTCCTGTGGTGGTACCACATCCTGTCAACTGCTTCCTGAGAATAGCATAAAAGTATCTGCAGGCATGAACCCAGCTTCACTTCTGCAGTCATCGCAGGTAGGTTCTTGCTACTGTTAATCCTTCTTTACAGAGTTTCTTTTAACAAAATATATGAAAAACATCAACATGTCAAAATATCTCTGAAAAACCTATAATTTTTGCTTAAAATGACCTTTTGACTTTATACAAGATTTGATGTTTTCATGGCAATGAAAGCACTAAATACAAATATCTGAATGCATCTTTTCTGAAATTTTACAATGTCAACTCCCCTCCAAATAAGTCCCTTTTTTTGCAGTCAGTCTCTTACAGATACATTATTTTTGGGAAGCATATATATTTATGCAACAGTTCTTAAAGTGAAGGATTTCAAATCTGAACTGATCAGCAGATTTGCAGGTAGATGCTCACAAGGTGAAATAAGGGTTGCCTTTCCTTGTCATACACGATTTCATTATGGTTATAGAAGTTCCTGAAGTGAATTTAAGATTTATATTGTGGTCTTCTGAGTTATCACACCATGTAGTCTGGTAGGTGGGTACCAGTGTTTTGCCTCTTCGGAATACCCTAGATAGAGACAGTATGGTCCTCTGAAACAATGGTACTAGACTACACAGCATCATAAACCAGAAGCCTATAACATCAGTTGACTTTCTGCATGTTTAAACTTTTTTGTCCTGAAATTGTTTGGAAATTAATTATTTCGAGATTTGAGATTCTTACGGCAGTGAGTATCAAGATTATTGTCTGGTTAATGCTGTTTATGAAAAGAATTTATGTTTATTATCACAATCATACAAAACACATAAATACACTGTTTGGGCAAAATGAAAAGATATTTGGTGTTAATGCAAGTGTGCCGTAAAGAATTAGAAGAATAATGAATAATCTTATATTTAAACATTGCTTCACATCGTGCTGATTTGAGCAGTAAGTTCACTTTGATTGCAGTGGGAGAACATCCAATTCAAGATGTCAAGACCAGCGCAACCGAAGGACATCCTTCTCATGTTTGATCGGCCAACAGAGCCAATCTTCATGCCAAAGGGAGACAACAACAATGTTGCATTTGATGTGCCTCCAGCTCTGTTGGTGAGTCCAATTTTTCTGTGTTTTTGCTGAGGTGGGTAGGGACTGCTGTCAGGCCACATAATTATTACGTACACATGAATAAAAAACTAAATCACATCTCAGGAAAAAAGATACAGATTAATGCAAAACTATCACAACAGAAAAGAACAGGAAAATATAACATACAGAACTAAACAAACCCAAAATAAAGTAAACAGAATATTAAAACACCAGCTTTGATACAATGAATTAAGGAATTATGATTGATGCTCCAATGTACTCTTGTTTTATTTTGGACTCAAACTGCAGCAGCACTTTCTATGATCTTAAGAGATTTTGAGACAAAATTGTTTGTGAAACACTGCCTAGTTTATAAAGAATGCCTTATATCATGTATGTCCAGCTGTCTGTCTCAGTGCCTAAACCATGGGACGGATTTTCTTAAAATTCAGTGTGGAAGACTTCTACTAAAAGTTTTCAGAAAATTATGATTTTCAGCCATATTGATACATAATAAATCCTGGTTTACTTAAGGCCATAAATGGATTTCTTCATCAATTGTTTAAACAATTTCAAAGATTCTCTTGAAATTCAGTATGGGAAACTCGCAACAGAAGTCACACAAATATTTTTTTCAACCATATTGATGAATAATTTTGGTCTAGAAAACCGAGATTAAAGGCCGTGGGGATCACTCGGCGGTCACTCAGTCACTATAGTTCGCTTGCAGACTACAGGCCACGTAGTTTATTTAGTTTATTGATGAATAATAAAGCATAGTTTGTGTAAGACCATAAAGTAAATGTTCCATATAATCCCATAACTTCTTCCAGAGGTTTTTCTTAATTTCAGTATGGGAAACTCACTGCTTTACATTTCATTGTTCATATTTTTAAGCAGGTTTTATAAGCTTCAAGAAACGCTGTTGATAATTCTACATACTAAATTAGGAGTATGCACTTTCCAGTCTTGTTAATCTCTACTGCATGTTCATTATCCCAGGCAGGCCAGCAGTTCTTGCATTTTTTTCAAACTACTGTCCATTCACAGGATAACCGAGTCAATGCAGATTCAGGACTGGTGAATAGGCTTGGTGCAGGAGAGGCTGATGAGCATGTTCAAGTCAGGACTATAGCTCTCCCAGACCTAACCGTACCCCAGTTGCTGAGTCGTGAACAGAACTTCTCACTGTTCATCCCCTTACACCGCCAAGCTGCAGGGCGTCTCATTGAGATCCTGATGGGTAAGAGCAGTTACTGAACACCTCCATAGTTCATGTTGCAATCTTCTGGACTGTGGCACAATACCAATGTTTCAGAGGAACATTCCACCTCCACCTTCAGGGTTTAAGTGTGTAGGGTGAGGAACTGGTTCCCTTATGTACCAGTGCAGGTACTAGTTACAGTGCATTCAGTTCCTTCATCCAATCCATTTTATCTTATTATCAGGCCCTGTTTTCAGTTGTATATGCAGGTTTCAGTGGAGGTGGTCACTCACACCCATGGAAGGGGGTAAGGAAATGGAGGACAACCTGGGCCAATGGAAATGATGGGCACAATATTGTTTCTCAGGACAGGAAGGAAGTGGAACTTAGAATAAATGGAGACAGTGTGTTCTTCTGAAACATCGGTATGCGATGAATATGGTGTAAAACTATGGTATTATTATAAACTTCCAGCTGTACACTATGGGTGTAAGACTGCGCTGTGTCACAACCCAGAAGACCACAGCTGAATGGTCACCACTTCAAAAATCTGAAAATTCAGATCAACAGTTAATGTTGTTGTCTCTGTTTTATGACACCATAGTATAGTCCATTAAGTGGAGACCATTATTTTTGAGAAACGTGTTGCCTCCAGGTTCAGGGCTGAAAGGCACGCCTTCTGAAATGTTTGGTCACACCTGCCAGACACTAACATGGTGTCATAACCCACAAGGCCACAAGGTGTGTCTTCACTGCCATGAAGCTCATACAGATCCAGTTTGTAAGCATTCCATAAAACTTATTTTCTGTTCATTGCACAGCTAAAGTCTGCTGACTCATCAGACTGAATTCTCTAACATTTATGTTTACATGTTCCCACTCTTGTAGGTGAGCAGGAACGTCGGTAGAATATGTTAGTTGTAGAAGAAAATGGTATAAATGATGAACACATAAACTTTGTAATTACTGTGATTCCTGTCCTCTACCGTGCAGTCTGGTAGAAAGGTACTGTCTCAGATTAACCTGCTGCTTCCGCTTTCAGGGTGAAAGGGTAAAGTGCATGGGAGGGGGGCGCAGGTATATGGAAAGGAGGAGAGGAAATGGGGCTACAAGTGGATCAATGTGAAATGGTGGCCAGTATAATTATAATTATTGGTGTGCTCTTCTACCCTGAACATAAAGGAAGCAGGTTCTTCAGAAATGTTGGTACCTTTCTACAAAACCACATCACATCACATCCAAGAAGATGACAATCTTTATTTTTACGGCTATGGGAACCTTGTAAGTAGAACCTGAACATGGATTTATAAAGGGCGATCATTAATATCATGCAGGTCATGATGAAATACAGCATGAAACAACATGCAGAAGAAAACTTTAAATTAACAAGTGACACATTTATGAGAACAGACTAGAGTGAAATAGTAGTACTTCGATAGGGAAAACAAAGTGAACTAAAATAATAGTGTGCAGTGATGATATGTAGTGATTGTATCATTCATGTAAGTTTATGACTGGCCTGCACAGTGTGTCCTCTGATCATTGTCACATTACACAATGCAAGTACAGTCAACTCTCGATTATCCGGGGGCGGATTAACCGGTTTGCGGCTTAACCGGGGCTTTTTTTTTTAAGTTTATATGTTGTTTAATATTCATTCACTTTTGTTTCACATGGTGAGTTTAACACTATTTTCGCACTAGTGTGAACCGAGCTCTGCATTATTTCGTCCCGTTATGCGAACACAATGTTCTAGGGTGGGGGTGAAAGAATGCAAGAATTTTTGGAAAGTTTCAAGGACAAATACACCGCCCCAGGTTATTTAACGGTACCATCTCAGTGTGAGAGTGCATTGTGAAAGTAAGTATCAGTTTCTTAATATAGATCTTCAAGTGCGTTAGCAAAATGTCGGGGTTTAAAAGGAAGCGTGTTGTGTTAAGTATTCAACAGAAACTTGAAATTATCAATCAGCTGGAAAAAGGAGCTGTAGTTAAACAATTAGCAATGCAATACGGTATTGGAGAACAAACTGTTCGTGATTTGAAAAAACAAAAGAATGAGTTAATTTCCTTTGCTTCGTCTTCTAATTCAAGCGGAATGAAGAAGAGAAAAACCATGAAGAAATCAACATACGATGATCTCGACAAAGCGATGCTGACCTGGTTTAATCAACTAAGGGCACAGGGAACAACAATAACAGGACCAGTTTGTGCTAAACAAGCTAAATATTTTTTCGAAGCACTTGAACTAGAAGGGAGTTTTGACGCTTCTTCCGGTTGGCTAACACGTTTCAAGCAGCGTCATGGAATACGAGAAATCAGTATTCAAGGTGAGAAATTGTCAGGGGACTTGTCAGCATCAGATCAATTTTGCACCAATTTTGATAGTTTTGTGAAAAGTGAAAATCTGCTGCCAGAACAAATCTATAATGCCGATGAAACGGGTCTTTATTGGAAATGCTTGCCAACCAGAACATTGGCATTTCAAAATGAAAGACAGGCTCCAGGTCACAAATCCAGTAAGGAGAGATTGACAGTCTTGTGCTGTTCTAATGCATCAGGAACACACAAACTAATACCAGTAGTTATCGGCAAAGCGAAAAGACCACGCTCTTTTAAAGGAACAGTAGCTTCAAGTCTGCCTATCCATTATTTTAACCAGAAAGTAGCTTGGATGAATAGAGCGATATTTAAAGAATGGTTTGATTTTAAATTCGTGCCTCAAGTTCGTGACCATCTAAAATCCCAAGGCCTACCTGAGAAAGCTGTGCTCCTCATTGACAATGCGCCCTCACATCCTAACGAAAGTCTCCTGAGGTCAGATGATGGAAATATTTTTGTGAAATATTTTCCCGCTAATGTTACCGCACTTATCCAACCAATGGATCAAGGAGTTATCTCAAGTATGAAGAGAATCTACAGATCAAATTTGCTACAAAAGTACATCGATGAAGGCAATGATCTGACGTGTTTCTGGAAGTCCTTTTCAGTATTAGATGCCATATACGAGATTTCAACAGCGTGGGATACAGTAAAGCCATCTGTATTGAAAAATTCATGGAAGAAACTGATGCCTTTCATCACTAATGAAGATGACGAAATCCATGGATTCACTGGATTCAGTGAAAATGAGATAGCCATAAAATTGACAAAAGTGGCTAACCAAGTTCATGGTGGTGAAGAAGTCAACGAGGAAAATATAAGAGAGTGGTTTAACTGTGACTCGTGTGAACCGGGCTTCGAAATGTTAAGCAGTGACGAAATCGTAACTTCAATGGGGGTGCAGCCAGAAGAGCGGGAAGAAAGTGAGAATGAGGAAGAGGTGGACAGTGTTGCCAGTAAGAAAGTATCACATGGTGCTGCGCTTAATCATTTGGAATCCTTACTAGACTATCTTGAGAGTGAAGAGGACAGTTTATTAAGTGACAAGCTAATATTACGTAGGCTTCGTACGGATATCCGTAAAAAGGAAAATGCCGCGAAAAAGCAAAAGACAGTATTAAATTATTTTAAGTGTTAAGTGTGACCGTAAAAAGTGCTGGATGTTGTTGAACAGTGATTGAAATAACTAATTCATACTGAGTGTAATGTAAAGAAAGTATTAAATAGGCCATGAGATGACATAGAAATGAGGATGAATAAATTTAAATACAGGTAGGTCTATAGTATTATGAAGGTATTAAAAGGTAAAAGGTAAAGTTGTTCCTCTGCTCAACGAATTAAGCCCTACGCCATTAAGGCGTGTGGGGGAGTGGATGTATAGATCCAAATTTTCTTGACCTCGGCACTAGTTGGAGGTGAGTGGTCAGCTTCACGCCCCGGCCGCTTTACCCCCGGGGAAAGAGCCCCCGGTACCCATTGGATAGGAGGTTGGATGGACCCCAGAGCCGGTCTGGACGATTTGGAGAAGTTAAAATTCTTGACCCTACCGGGACTCGAACTCCGACCCTTCACAGTCGTCCAGCCCGTATAATAAAATTTGGCTTAACCGGGTTTTCGATTAACCGTGACTTCCATCCCCACCATTAGCCCGGATAATCGAGAGTTGACTGTACATCACAAAACACAACACTTTGCATCAGAGCTCATTTGTCTTTGCCACAGTTCGTGCTCCAGGTCAGGTTGTTAATCACTGTTTACTCATCATGGAGGCCCCAGGGTAGTTCATGTGAAATCTGTGGTAGACAAAGTGTCACTTCTTGTTCCCTGCTTTTTCCTCCTGCAAATTATTATTCCACAAATGCGTGATGCTTGTGCAGTAGGACCATCTGAAGCAGAAGTGTGAAGATACTCATTACAACTGGCACTGTTACAGGAATGCGCAACATTGATGACCTTGTATCAATGAGTGCAGCATGTCGTGAGCGTGTCAACCCATATCTGTTCAATTATGCCCTGTCAGTGGCTATTCTGCATCGGCCTGACACCCGTAACTTGCAAGTACCCCCATTGCTTGAGGCTTTTCCTGACAAGTTTGTGGATGGGGCTATCTTCAACAAAGCCAGACGGGAGTCCGAGATCTTCCTCTCCGGCTCCAGGGTACGTAGCAGATTTAACTTTGCAGAAATTTTCTATATGTCGTGAGGGAGGGTGGGCATGTTATTATGTCTTGTGTCAGTCTATCCGTGTAATGTGTTGAATTAATTGGCGGCTGTGATTAAGCTTAGCATGAAAATCCTGTCATTGGAGATCACTTTGTATTGAGAGTATCAACATTGAAACTGTGAAAAATTCTGAGACTGGGTCAATCCAGCATAATTCGATTTAGAATCCTGCAATATATATTTCAGGCTTCTAAATCATAGTAATGAGAGTGCAGGAAAAGAATACATTCTGGAAGAGCTTATTATTAATGCGTTCAAAACAGTTTTATCATCCTGTTTGTTCTCCAAATTACTGGAAGTCAAGATATACAGAAGAATATAAATCACAGGTGTTTGAAAACAAAGAATCCATGTATATATTTTTTCTGAGGAGGACGCAGTAAATAAGTAATTCATAATATTACATAGTGAGGAACTTTGTGATTTGTATTGGTTGCATAGCATTGTTACGGTAGCGAAATGCAGGAGGCTATGGCAGGGCAGTCATGCGTCTCACATGGGAAAAACAGGCAGTGCATACAGAATTTTGGTAGTGAATTCTTTTGGAAAAACAGCCTTTTGGAAGGCTGAGGAGACGGGGCGATAATATTAAGATGGATCTTACCAAAAATGATGTGATGGTGGAAGGTGGGTGGAAATTTCTGAGGATTGTTTCCAGTGATGTTCTTCCATATGAGCTTAATAAGGGCAGAGAACGCCACTGGGAACTTTTGCGCTACAGTATGGGGTACACTTTTTCCAGTGTAACTCAACATAGTTAATTTTAACAGCAACCACTGGAGATCCCGCTGGACTACACAGCATCTGACCTAGACATTGAGCACCGCATAGCATATTTCCGTGAGGATCCGGGCATCAACCTGCACCACTGGCATTGGCATCTTGTGTACCCCTTCACAGGGCCCCGCAACATAGTGGACAAGGACCGGCGTGGAGAGATCTTTTATTACATGCACCAGCAGATCATTGCAAGGTGATGATTACAAAATCATTTGAATGAAAACAGAAAATTCTTTTGTTTCAGATTTGAAGGTTCTCATGCAGTGACCATGAAGACTACTGCCCTCTGTGATGTGACACCCTGTATTTGTTTGTTTGTAGTTTATTTCATGATCCTGTCAGTAACTCACACTGTATGAAATTGAATTATTGGATGGTAGTGAATGGTAATTTGGAAATTATGTGGAAAGAGGTAGTCATGGCCTAATTTAAAGTACTGTCCCAGAACTTTCCTGGAGGGACTGAGTAAAGCAATGAAGAACCTCTGTCATGATAGTGACCTGACTGGTATTTGAATCTCCTAAATACAAATTGAGTGTGTTATTGCTTGCACCACTATGCTTATGTGATGCCGTGTAGTCTGGTAGGGAGTTGTTAACATTTCAGAGGATCCAGTTGCCTCCATCTATAGGGTAGAAGAGTGGATACCTGGAAGAAGAACACAGTGGGTCTCTTATTAATAATGTTGTATTTTAGCATCCTGTTGCACTGATTCGTGTCCATGATGGGTATGTATTGACCGTCATCCAGTGCACACAATCTCACTTGTCACTTCACTACATGTTTCGGCATCACTGTGCCATCCTCAGGTGTGTTATTTACATTAAACTATTGCACTGCTCGCCATCATGTGTCATTTATAATATGAGTTAAAATGTGTATTCTTCATGTACTATAATAAAATTTATATATATTAAAATTTGTTAAGATTTATCATCTTATACATCGTATTTCAAACTCGCGTATTATATGATTCCTCCGCTATGGGAGTCGTTCTTCCTATATTTTCACTATGTCTTGTACTAAACATTATAAAACAACACGTAACTGATAGAAGTCAAAACGTAATATTAATAAGTACCATTTTCACGTTGCAAGTATACACAAAATATAGGAAGAATGACTCCCATAGTGGAGGAATGATATAATACGCGAGTTTGAAATACGACATATAAGATGATAAATCTTAACAAATTTTAATATCTATAAATTTTATTATAGTACATGAAGAATATACATTTTAAATCATTTTATAAATGACACATGATGGTGAGCAATGCAATAGTTTAACGTAAATAACACACCTGAGGATGGCACATGTAGTGAAGTGACAAGTGAGATTGTGTGCACTAGAAGACGGTCAATACATACACATCATGGACAGTGGGCCTCTTAAGAAGGTTGGTAATGACCTACCAAACTACACAACATCACATCCTAGAAAAATGTAAAGCTATTCTGGAGGTCTCTTGGGGTGGAAGGGGGAAGACTGATGATCATGAAGAGAGGTGACGAACTTAAGTTTATATTATTATTCTGCATACCTGAAGTATGCTGATGAGCGTTCATGTCCATGTTATTCCTCTAAAGTTGTAGCTACTACACATTATGGTGCTCATGAAGGCAGCAACCATATCCTAGGCAAGAAAGAGATAGTTCTGCTTTTTATGTTACGTACATTTCATGCCAAACATCCTCCAGGGTAGAAACTATGAGCAAAATATAATTGTACTAACCAGTCACATTATGTGCTATATATGTTTGTGTTAACAAAGTTGTCTTTACTCTCCTAATAGATACAACTTTGAACGGCTGTCCAATAAGTTGGCACGTGTTAAACGCCTCCTCAACTGGCGAGAACCCATACCAGAAGGCTACTTTCCGAAGCTGGACAGTCTTGTAGCAAGCAGGGTCTGGCCTTCACGCCATTCCAATGCTGTTATGAGAGTTAGTGACATCTCATATTAAGACTTTTGTTGAAAATGTTTGTGGATCAGTGAGATTTTGGTTTTGAGATTGCCACAGGTATGAATATCAAGACGGTGATATCCTGGGATATGAAATTACATAGGTTTGGTAGATATGTACCAGCATTTTGGAGAAACCTGTTGCATCCATCTATGGAGTATAAAAGTGCTCTTGTAACTCGAAGTGGGAGGCTGTACGTTCCTCTCAAATGCTGATATCTCACCAGACTATATGTCATAAGACTATTCTTGATATTCACTGTCCTGAGAGGCTCAACTGTCAATCTATAAATCAGTCAGTCAGTTCTAGGACTCATTATAGGTTGGATAATATTTACCAGCCGCCCTTTATCTGTCCAGGAAGATTCCTGGTACTCATTTCTCTTAGAGGCTGTGTCAACTGCAAGGCCATAGTGCAGCTGGAAGAATTAGGTCAGTTGAAAAACCCAGTGAGCTCATCACGAATTGAATCCATGACCTTCCAGCTTGTAGCATAGTGCTTCAATAAACTGTGCTAGTGCAATGCCAAACCCATAATGAGGAAAATTGTTTTAATTCATGAATCTTGAAATTTACCATTTATTTTCAATGTGTGCTTTGCTACACAAATGCAAAAGTTATCCCAGAGCCAGATCAGTTGTTTGCTCCCCATTCTGCAGTTATGTGCTCTGTTCTGCAGGATGTGAACAGAGAGCTGGACCAGTTGCAGGTGGACATTGCCGACTGTGAGCGCTGGAGGGACCGCTTCTATGATGCGATTCATCAGGGCAGTGTGCTGATGGTGAGGACAGATAATCCTTTCAGATACAAGGCATCAGGAACAAGCAATTTCTTCTTCTTTATTGTTTCCCTCTTCTTTTTCCTTCTCTGTTTGCTTATAATATATTTTTTTCTTTCTTCTCCACCATTCTGCTCCTCCTCTTTGTTCTAACATAATTTCCACTCTATGCATTCGTTGAACAAAAGTGTCTGCAATCTGTTCTGTATTCCTATGGTCTTCTTCTTCATGATTTCTCTCTTGCTCTTCCTCTCATTTAGTTTTCTTCAAATACCAGCTAAACCATCTTGTTCTGAATCATCCCACATGTCTCTTTCCTTTAAATTTAATTTTTATTGCCCATCTTGTTATCCCTGTTCTATCCATTCTGTTTATACTGCCAAAGTACTGTAATCACTTCTCTTATAACTCTGTTAGTAAGTTCTGAATTCTACTATCTTCTCTAAAAATGTCATTTATAATTCTATCTGTTCTTTTTCTTTCAGCATTTCTCTAAAATTTCATTTTATGTGTAGATAACCTTAACTGGTGCATCTCTAGCCACTCACACAGACATCTAATCACATATCTAACACTAAGGTCCCAAAGGTGCAGAGCTTTATTTCTTTGTTCCTCTAAAGCCCAATGGTTTTTACATGCAGCAACTGCTTGAACAGCATCCAAAAATTCTCCACTTTTCCTAAGATTCTCACAGTATATCATAATTTCCCTGTGCAGCATTAAATGATTGATCTTAATGGAGATGGCAGTGTTTCTGTGAGAATTTTAAGTATTATTCAGATATTGCATGCTTCCAAGGGTTATAAGCATGTAAGCTTATGCACAGTGACCAGAGAAGCTTGTTCTTGGTGATAACTAGATAGGTAGTCACAAACAAATTTGTAACATTCTCACATAGTGGTGTTTGTGTGTTTGTAGCCAAATGGGAATCGTGAATTGCTGACTGAAGAGAAAGGCATCGATGTGCTGGGTAACCTGTTGGAGGCCAGCATCCTCTCCCCCAACATGAACGTGTATGGAGACCTGCATAACATGGGACATGTCTTATTAGGACTCTGCCATGATCCTGATGGGAGAAATCTGGTAATTTGTATCCCTATAACCTAGCTTATGCTTATACCATATAAACATCTAGGAATCAGTTAGATCAGTCATTATAGCGACTAAGCTGTGGGCTGGACAACTCTGGTGAGCTGGAGTCTGAATCACAGCAGGGGAGGAGATTTTTATATTTCACAGAATCCAGACTGTCTCTGGGGCCCACCCAGCCTCTAATTCATGGGCACTAGGGATTGCTTCCTTATGGGTAAAACAGTCAGGATGTGAAGCTGACCACTCACCTCCATGTAGTGTTGAGGCTGAGAATGAGTGGAGCTGTACCTCTACATTCTCCATACATCTCCTTATCATGATGCTGAATTAAGGACAACTATGCCTTCCCCTGTTACTCGCTCTCTCATGTGTCAAAATATTCCTTGTTCTCAAGCACTTTTAGTGTGTGTTTCTCTATAGACATCTGCATTCTGGGCAAGAGTCTTCAAGTGCCATGTAACACAGCATCCAGTATTATCTTGCAGGAAACATTTAGTACGATTGCTGACCCTGCAACATCCATGAGGGACCCTGTGTTCTTCCGCTTGCATGCCTTTGTGGACGATATATTCCAAGAACACAAATCAACCTTGCCTCGCTATGACGTTAACAGGGTGAGTGGTGAACACTGTTGCATGGTTCATTTTCCTCACAGTGGCAGTACTTCATTTGCCATTCAGGAGAATCATTGACTCCAAAAAAAAATGTTTAAAGTGATTTTTATGAAATATGAGACACATGGCAATGAATATTAGGATTACAGGCTTATGATATGTGATGCCAGGTAGTTTTGGATGCCTGTCTAACAGAGTATAAGGCATCACATACCTGAAGAATGTAAATCTGGTAGTGTCTACTGGATTTCAACTTTTCTGAGGAGTTGGTAGCCTGTGCTTTCCTGCCACTTCTTAATCACCCAGTATTCGTTGCAAGAATATGGCATCAAAAGAATCACAGAAACTGTTTATTTACAGTTAATTTGATGAGGCTGTCATTAGCATATATTGTATAGTGTCATATGGTGGGGGTGAATTTGAGGTAGAATTTGACCATTTGCTTGGAGGATCTGAGGAAAACTACAAAAAACACCAGGGCCCTGGAATAACTGTACTGCTGTTCTGTGGTTATACCAACCTTGTGCCAAGTACATTGTGGGTGTTAATTATTGCTGCTGGTATTTATTGTTGTCACCATCACCTTCTCCAGACAATGCGCACACTTGCGTGCATGCAGACTGACAAACTTGACAAAAGTCACATATCTGCCAGAGCATTACATATTTTGAGCTTGAGGCTAAAATTGGACATGGAAGTACCACCAGACATGTTAAAAAGACATCAATTATCATCATCTTCATCACCATATTATGTTTAATGAAGTGCATCTCTCACCTTTCAGCTCGGCTACAACGGTATCACTGTTCGCTCTGTGGATATAGAGACACCAGGTGCACCAAAGAATGAGTTAAGAACATTCTGGAAGAAGGATGATGTTGATCTTTCCCGAGGTATGGACTTTACACCACGAGGCAATGTGTTTGCACGGTTCACGCACCTCCAACATACCGACTTTGTGTACAAGATCCAGGTATGGAATTATGTGCAGATGTAGCTGTCTGTTGCCAGAGATGTGTCACAAGCTCATGAAAATGAGGCCCTGTGTCAATGGTTGCAGGTGGAGAACAGCACCAATGGCCCAAAGGTAGGCACAGTAAGGATCTTCTTGGCTCCCAAGTTTGACGAGCGAGGTGTCAACATGTTGTTCCGGGACCAGAGACTGCTCTTTATTGAACTGGACAAATTCACTGTCACGTGTAAGTTGAGAAATGTTTGAATTGTTTTGTATGGCTGTGATACTGAGTCGCTAGCTTCGCAAATTATCTGACCCCTTGAGACCCAAGTCGTTCTGTTGTGGGATGGTGGACATAAGAACAGACACTTTTCTTATCTTCTCCATCCTCTTCTTAAAACCATATCCTTCTTTTCTATCTTGTTCTTTCCCTCCTCTTCTACATCCAGTGTCCTGATCCTTGCAATAATTCATCCAAGGTGTAAAGACGTTATAGAAGTTGCTCAAGAAAATACTTGGGCCTAAGGGAGGAAACAAACAGTCTGCATTTTTAGACCTGGACACTGGTGTTGGTTAAGTCGTACTCTCTCCCAAAGCACAGCTACAAACACACTGTTTCTGCATCTCTCCATAATGTTATTCATTTGTCCTCACCTACAATGCAGAGGCAAGTTCTAAAACACAGCCTGTTACTAAGACTTGAGGAAATTACAGAATAATGAACTTCAGATGTATTTGGCTTATGGTTTGTGGGGATAGTTGGGATAGCTGTGTGCACCGAAGCCATTCTCAGTGTTACAGCAAAGAGAAATGTTGCAATATCTCTGCTGGAGGTGAAATGTGTGCCACCAGTGCATAGTGGTCATGAATTTGTATACAAAGAGAAACGTTTGATAGTGAGCCAGCAGAACCTGACGTGAGCCCACTAGTCACAGTGGGAGCATAAATTAGTGACTTGAATTGGAAACACTATAGACTTGTGTATATAATTTAACATTAATCAGATGTCAGTATTTATAAAGTTGAAGCAATTTGGTGTTAATTTGTAACATAGTTTCAGACTCTCCACTGTGCAAATTTATTTAAGCCACTACATGTCAGAAATTGTTTCTGTTTTCATCTTCATGTGAATAGTGTGCAAGAAAACGTGTCCTGTTGGGCCTCTTGGTAGAGCTACTTACAAACAGTGGTCCATGGTTCCTGAGTAGCCCTATCTTTGGACCAAACACAGTGGGATTCCTCTCATATTCTCTTCATCTGAAGACAATTAGAACCAACTTTCAAAATATAGTAGCTTTAATAAACTCAGATGGACAGCATACAAAGTCAGAGTTTGAAATAAATATTTCTGATGATGATGTGTTATAAAAACATATCTGTTATTTCAGACATTGTTTACTGTGTCAAGATTTTTTAGAAACTGTGTCTTTTTCCATCATGGATTCATCCAATGATTGAAGTAGCCCTTTCTAATGAGACAGGGTCAGTACGAAACTTCCCTACCTTACACCTGATGACTGAAATAGATCCATATTTTGAAACACTGAGTTTGAGAAATCTCAAAACAATGACAGTGTACAAAAGAATAGTTACACTTACTGGCCATGTAATTGGAGTGATGGATGTGAATCTCTTACTGAGGTAACGTTATTATAAAGTGATGTACCATATTGATGTGCCGCAGTGAAGCCTAAATCAAACATGATCGAGCGGAGGTCAACCGATTCTTCGCTGACAATACCGTTTGAGCGGACATTTCGTAACTTGCAATTAAACCGACCAGGGGGGGGTGCAGCTCTCGATGAGTTCAACTTCTGTGGCTGTGGCTGGCCACAACACATGCTCATTCCCAAGGGCTCTCCAGAGGGTATGCCCTGTGAGCTGTTTGTCATGATCTCCAACTTTGATGGTGATAAGGTAAGTTCACAACTGCGAAAGCCTGGCTTCCATAAAGGAGGAGGAGGACTGGACACTGTAATGTCACTGCAAGAATCTGTCTTCTTAACACATTTGTGGTAATGTTCAATGAGACATGTGGCAGATACTTGTAAACAACATGTCTCATCTTTTTAACAGTTTTCAGTGTTCACTTCTCTCCCATGGAAAAGAAGAGCGTTACATACAAAGTCTTAACAGGAAAACCTGAATGAAAGTGGCCACTTACAAGACCTAGGCATAGGTGGGAGGACAATATTAAGATGTATGTTAAAGAAATATGAGACTTAGATGTGGACTGGATTCATCTGGCTCAGGATATGGACCAGTTGCAGGCTTTTTTGAACACAGTAATGAATCTTTGGGATCTGTAAAATGCTGGTCATTTCTTTACTACCTTTGCAAGAAGGACTCCGGTCCCTAGAGTTTGGGAGTTTGCTTACAGATGGCTGCAGGCCAGCCTTTCTGTATTGTTTAGCTAGCTTGTGGCACCTGGTTACTACTGATGTGCTTATGAGGTATATGATGACTGTAGGTCATATGGGCTGTAGTGCACATTTAAAATACCATTCCACAATATCAGCAGCTGCAGGAATCAGTCAGAACACAGTAAGTTTTCTGTCTCTGAGAACATTTCTTGCTGATCACAGTGTTCATGCACTCTAGGATGCATGAGGTCTCTGATGCCCAAACACAGGATAGTGGGTTTGAATCCCACTTGGAGTATGAATTTACATACACATGTATAGTCTCTACTTGTGTTGGTCCATGTACAGGTGGGTAGAATCTTCACACTGAGCCATTGCCCAGACCAAGAAGCCACAAATTAATTCTGGATTAGGATAGGCCAGAGGACTTAATCTTTAAAGAAGAAAAAGAAGAAAGTTTGACATCATTTTGCTCATTACATGAGTAATTTGTTGGATAGTGTCCATGGCCTGTTGTATATATGATATATATTATGTTTCAGAAACTATCATGTAGATCCGTTTCCACCATCAGGTGCAAGGTGGAACCTCTCATGTAGAGCTGGTCTGTCTCGATGCACCTTACATCTAATGATGGCAACATGCAGTTTCCTAAACATTGTGTATATGAAATATACTCCAGACAATGAACCGTGTTTAACATAATGTTCATATAATGATTCAGCCACTGTCACACACCTTTAGGGCAGTGATTCCCAAACGTGACTACCACATGCAGCTATCAGTAATTTCTTATGAACCCACCAGACATTCTTGTGACTAATGAGTGACATTTGTGTTCACAAACTTAGTCTGGAGACAAATTTTCTTCATATCTTCTATAAGTTCATTGATTATTTTGTGTGTGTGTGTTGTGGGTCTGTGCTACACAGCTGCAAACATACACTGCAACAGATTTATGGACATACAAGGTGTGGCAATAAAGAACCCGGATTACTTTTATGACTCATTTCCGGCCACGTCATTGACGAAGAGGAGGGTAGGGCATTGACCCTTGGACTTCCCTCTACCGTCACACAAAGTTTCATTCACGTGCATCGGTTAGTCTGGCCGCGACCATTGTTAGAAGCGGATCGTGTTTCTGAGCTCCGTCGGAATAATGCTGAGTGCTAATGCAGAACAACGTGCTAACATCAAATT